TTTTTCATGAATTAGATAGAGATAACCATAACGAGATAGATCATCAATGAAGGTGATAAAATACTTTTCTCCACTAAAACATGGAATAGGTAGTGAGCAGATATCTGTATGGATTAAGTCAAGAAGCTCTTTACTTCTTGTGGCACCCATTTTATTGTGTTTGGTTTGCTTACCCTTAATGCAATCAACACACATTTGAAAATCAGTAAAGTCTAGATTTTCCAAAATTCCAGTTTTTACCAATCTTTCGATTCTTTCCTTGAAGATATGCCCCAATCGTTTATGCCACAAGATAGAAGAATTTTCGTTATTTAGGCTTCGCTTTACGCCAACTTCCGAATGAGTGGTTAATAATGATTGTTCAAACTCACGATTCAAAGATATTTTATATAAACTATCACATAAAATACCGGAACCAATTATTATTGAATTGAACATAAAACTGAGTTTTCCACAACCAATTAAAGCTGAATAACCACAAATATCCAGTTTTGACAAAGAAACCAAATTCCTAGAAAACGAAGGTACATAAAAAGTGTTTTCAAGATCCATCTTATGACCCGTCTCTAATATGAGGCGATAAGTGCCAACAAACGCCACTTTAGATTTGAGACGGTTCCCCATATAGATGTACTTTTCACTTTCCTCCGGTTTCCGAGTTGTAAGGAATCCTTTTCTTTTCGAACCAAGCCTTACGTTTCTCACAGTCCTTCTTTACGTGTCCCTTCTTGTTACAAAAGTAACAGGTGACAACAAAAGCCTTTCCATGACCCTGACTACTTTCACCAGGTTCATATCTTTTGTTTGGTGCGAATTTCTTTCCACTCTTCACAAATTTCCCTTTCTTCTTCATACTTCCATGAGTTACAGCCAGTGCAAAGTGATTTCCTTCCTGCTTTAATCTCACTTCCTCTTGAATACACATACTAGTCAGCTCATTCTAATTCCACTTGTCTTTTTGAGTATTATAGTGGATTTTGAATGGGCCGAACTTTGATGGAAGTGAGTTAAGGATAAATTGCACAAGGAATGACTCTTCCACTTTCATGCCAAGAGCTCCAAGTTTGGCAGCCTTATCAGTCATATTCAGGATGTGTTCCTGAATTCCCTTATCACCACCATATTTCATGGTAGTCAATTCAGCCATGAGTGTCCCTGCTAACGACTTGTCCGCTGATTTAAAGCGTTCTTTAATAGCCGTTAACAGTTCCATAGCATTGTCAACCTCGGGAAGGGAAGTCTTAATATTATTAGCAACGGTCATTCTAATAAGCATAAGACTAAGCCTATTGGACTTGGTCCAGGCTTCAATTAGGCTAACTTCTTCCTCACTGTTAGCATCCGTTATTTCCCCAGGTTTTTCAGTAAGCAATGCTAGGTCCAAATCCATAACACCCAAGGTGAATTGAATTTGTTCATACCATTCGGAGAAATTTGACCCA